TGGGGGAGAATTTGGGATTTTGGGGAATTTTGGGGATTTTGGGGAATTTTGGGAGATTTTGGGGTAAATTTGGGGGATTTTTGGGGTAAATTTGGGGGATTTTTGGGGGATTTTCGGGGGAATTTTGGGGGGATTTTTGGGAATTTTGGGGAATTTTGGGGGGATTTTTGGGGGAGAATTTGGGATTTTGGGGGGATTTTGGGGAATTTTGGGGATTTTGGGGAATTTTGGGGAATTTTGGGGAATTTTGGGGGGAATTTTGGGGATTTTGGGGGATTTTGGGGGGTAAATTTGGGAGATTTTGGGGAATTTTGGGGAATTTTGGGAGATTTTGAGGAATTTTAGGGAATTTTGGGGGGATTTTGGGGGGAGAATTTGGGATTTGGGGGGGATTTTGGGGAATTTTTGGGTCACTGAGGTCGTTTTTGGGCCATTTTTTGCCATTTTTTGCCATTTTTTGCCATTTCTGGGCCATTTTCACTCATTTTGGGCCCTTTTTTCCCCATTTTTTTGCCTTTTTTCCCATTTTTTTCCCATTTTTTCCCATTTTTGTGCCGTTTTCCCTCACTTTCCGTCCGTCCATGTCCGTCTGTCCCACTTTGGGCCATTTCTGGGCTGGTTTTGGGCCATTTTTGGCCATTTTTGGGCCATTTTTGGCCATTTTTGAGCCATTTTTCACCATTTTTGGGTCATTTTTTTCCATTTCTGGGCCATTTTTGGGCCGTTTTTTCCCATTTTTCTCCGTTTTCCCCTCATTTTCCATCTGTCCGTGTCCGTCTGTCCAACTTTGGGCCATTTTTGGGCCATTTTTTGCCATTTCTGGGCCATTTTTTGCCATTTTTGGGCCATTTCCGGTCCATTTTCACTCATTTTTGGCCGTTTTTTCCCATTTTTTCCCCGTTTTTCCTATTTTTCTCCATTTTCCCATCATTTTCCGTCCATCCGTGTCCGTCTGTCCCTCAGGTTGGGCGGGGCCATTTCTGGGCTGGTTTTGGGTCAATTTTTGCCATTTTTTGCCATTTCTGGCCCATTTTCACTCATTTTGGGCCATTTTTTCCCGGTTTTTTTGCCTTTTTTCCCATTTTTTTCCCATTTTTTCCCATTTTTGTGCCGTTTTCCCTCACTTTCCGTCCGTCCGCGTCCGTCTGTCCCTCAGGTTGGGCGGGGCCATTTCTGGGCTGGTTTTGGGCCATTTTTTACCGGTTTTGGGCCATTTTTTACCATTTTTGGGCCATTTTTTGCCATTTTTGGGCCATTTCTGGTCCATTTTCACTCATTTTTTTGCCGTTTTTTCCCATTTTTTTGCTGTTTTCTCTCATTTTCCGTCCGTCCGCGTCCGTCTGTCCCTCAGGTTGGGCGGGGCCATTTCTGGGCTGGTTTTGGGCCATTTTTTGTCATTTTTTACCATTTTTGGGCCGTTTCTGTGTTGTTTTTTCCCATTTTTTTGCCGTTTTTTCCCCATTTTTTTGCCGTTTCTCCTCATTTTCGGTCCGTCCGCGTCCGTCTGTCCCTCAGGTTGGGCCGGGGGTTTCTCTCTGGCCCTGGGGGAGCTGCGGGGGCTGCGCCGGGGCCCCCCCGGGCTGAGCCCCCCCTTTCTGCTGCTGCTGCCCCGGGGGGGGGGTCCCACCCCTCCCCCCCTGCACCTCCCCCGGGGGGGGCTCCGGAAAATCCGACGGGTTCTGGGATCCCGCCTGCGCCCGTGAGTAACAACCCCAAAACACCCCAAAAACAGCCCCAAAACAGCCAGAAAAACAACCCCAAAACGCCCCAAAAACACCCCAAAAACACCCCAAAAAACAGCCCAAAAACAGCCCGAAAACACCCCAAAAACAGCCCAAAACCAGCCCGAAAAACAGCCCCAAAACACCCCAAAAACAGCCCAAAAAACAGCCCCAAAACACCCCAAAACCAGCCCAAAAAACACCCCAAAACC